AAATTTACCAATCATAATCATTTTTTTTTAAAATCATGTTTTGATTTTTTATCAAATCATGTTTTGATTTTTTTACTTATAATATAATGTCTGAGAAGATAAAGCAAAAAAGAACAGCTATAAGTGGCGAAACAAAGCGTGAAATTTGTGAATATTATACTAAACATCCTCAAATATCTCATCAGGAAATAGCAACACATTTTAATCAACTTTATAATATTAATATTAAAAGAACAACAGTTAGCAAAATTTTAAAAAACAAAGAACATGGCTTTCTATTATAACAAATCCTATAACTTCAACTTATAAAAATCGTGAAGTAAAATATCCTTTACTTGAAGAAGCACTTTCTATTTAGGTATAATAAGCATTATCAAAAATTTAATTATATCAGATAATATTTTACGAGAAAAAGCAAAAGATTTAAATATAGCCAAAAATATACTTGTATTTTCAAATGGATGGTTAGGTGGATTTAAGAGTAAGAATCATTTAAGTAAACAGAGGATACATGGAGAAGCAAATGATGCTCCTTTATCTATATTATCTGAAAAAAGAGCTGAATTACAAGAATTAATTTCAAATTTTGACTTAAATGATGTATTTAATTGTGATGAAACTGGTTTTTATTATCGTATGACACCTAATCAAATACTTGCTTCTGGACCCGATTCAGGAATGAAAAAGGTAAAAAATATATATTATTCTTTTATTAATTATTATTATAATATAAAATATTTTTTTAATAATAGTTATATTATTATATTTTATATAGGATAAGCATAGAGTTACTGTATTATTAGCATGTAATGCAACTGGAACTGAAAAAATTAAGCTGCTTGTAATTGGAAATTCTCAAAAACCTCGTTGCTTTCGTAGAGTCAATTTACATAACTTACCAGTTTTTTATAATTGGAGTAAAAAAGCATGGATGACACAAAAAAAATTTTATTATTGGATAAAAGATCTTGATGCTAAATTTTGATGTCAAAATCGAAAGGTTTTAATGCTATTGGATAATGTATCTTCACATATAAATTCTAATAAAAATGAATCAAATGTTAGTATTTTAAAAAAATATTTATTATAATTAAAATTAATTAATTTTTTTTTATTTTAGATTTCTGAAATTAATAATGATAATGAAGTTTTAAATAACAAAAAATAAAGAACAAGAGTTATATTCATTAAAACTTATGAATATTACTTTTAGATTTCTTTCACCTAATACTACTTCTCATTTACAACCATTAGATGCCAGAATAATTAATAATTTTAAAGTTAGTAATAAAGATTATATATTAATTTTTTAAATTATTTTATTATTTTTAATTAAAGGTTAAATATAAACAATATTATTGTCGACATTTAATAAGACAATTTGATAATAATGAAGATTTAAAAGAGTAAAACAAATGTTTTTTTTATTTAATTTATATTTATTATATAATTAAATAAATTTATTTTTTTTTATTTTAGAAATAAATTGAATTTATTAGAAGCGATCAATTATGTTTCAGAAGCTTGGTCTGATGTATCACAAAATACAATTTCAAATTGTTGGATCAAGACAGGAATTTTACCATCTATAAATAATATTCAAAGAGAAATTTCATCTGATCAAGTTAATATAGAATTGGATGCAGAACTTGAAAGCATTGAAGATTTTTTTGATACTTTATCTGAATTTACTACTCCATTTTCATCTAATATCAAGCAATATATAACAGAATTAGAGGAATTACTGGTTGAAGAATTTTTAAATGAAAAACAAATTATTGAATATGTTACCAGAAATCCTAATGAAGAAATTATATCTGATAGTGAACCTGAATTAGAAATAATTGGTATAAAAGAAGCAACACAAGGTTTAAAAAGTTTTATAACTTTTTTACTCAACAATCAGATAATTCTAATTTTGATCATAAAGATTTAAAAGTTTTTTAGAAAATATTCAAAATTTATGAATCTTAAACTAATTGAAAATAGGAAACAAACTTCTATTAATTCTTTTTTTACTATAACAGATTAATTTGTTTACTTTTTAAATTTTGTTTATAAATCAATAAAATAACAATATAACAAATTATAAATTTTTTTTAAAAAATATAAATATTGTAAAAAACAAATACCGTATTTATTAAAATAAAATTCATTTTTTAACTCATTTTTTACGATTTAAATTATTATACTATATATAGTAAACCCATATATAATCACCTGCGGTATAAAAGTCATATTATGGTGATTATATATGGGTTTCCTATATATAATCACCCCTATCTATAATCACGTAATTATTCAAAACCAAAAGGGGTGATTATAGACAGGTCTGACTGTATTTATTAAATTTCTTATAATTGTTATTTTTGATATATTCGTTATGTTTGATATATTTATTTTAAATTAGTATTTATAAATTCTTTATACCGAAATCCGCTTTGTTCAAAGAAGAAGGTTGTTGAGTCTTGAGAAGAGACGTCCGAAATCTTGAGTTAATAAAATTCCAAGTTACACTTTCAAACTTTATCGTGTCTCCATATAGACTGACTAATAACCAACTGCACAAAGAATCGTATAAAGTAAATAGTTGTATAAATCTTTCTTAGGACGGGCCTTAGTTAGATTTAATCGTTGTTTGGTTAACCTGGTTTCGGTTTAAATCCGGGTTAACACCAGGTTGATGAAGTCTGAATGAAACAGAATTGGTTTTATTTTTTTTACATTAAAGAGCCTATCGATCGACATCTATCTGTATTGCCGGATGAAACGGATTTAGTTTATTTTTTAATTTTTTTTAGTATTTAATACAGATTTATAAATTATAAATTCCAGATTTGGTTTTTTATTTATATTACATGAAATTTTAATTAGTCCCTGATTTACAAAATTTCTAGTTTTGTAATTTATGAATAAAATTTAATCTGCAATTATGATATGTCAATTATTGGTTATTATTACATTGCAAATTGTAACTCATCAGATAAGAACTGCTAAAACTCCTTTTCTTTTTTCCTTCTCGGGCTTTTCTCTGCTTATTTTCGCTAGCAAACTATGTTGTAGACCACATCTTTTCACTTAAATCCGCTTGTCGCAAATGGGGAGGTGTCTCTGCGGGTTTCCATCTACTGGTAAGTAAGTCGGACATCCAGTGGCCATCAGGTCAGGTAATTGTATTGTTAACTTGTCGATATCACCGGCAATTGAACAACAACTTCAAGAGCATAAACTTCCGAAATCAATGCAGTTATTTGAAAATACATCATTTTTATTTCAGAGGGTGAGGCTGAGTAGATCTTAAGTTTAGGCCTAATGAAAATAGCCCGTCATGTATTTGTACCTAATGCCCTTTATCTCACAAATTTCTTAACGATAAACTTACTTTCGTCGGTGCTGTTTACGGCTTAATGATTTCTTGCGTTGCTTTAAATCCTGATACTTGTTTCGTCACTGTATATACCAAAAACTTTTGAAATTATCAGAAATTTCGTCAAGTAGCAGATTATTTAATCAGTAACAATTATAGCCAGCAATTTCTTCTTTGAATCATTTATAATTATAAATAAGATAGGAAAAATGTATTTATAACAACATGTTACATTTAACAACCCGGCAGCCAATAATATTTGGTATTTTTATTTACATTATAAACAAATTTATTGGTTCTACTAATAGTTGTTACATGTAACTTAAAATTAGATTCATCCTTATAAATAAAGCTTAAATAGCTAAATTAAAAACAATCATCGATACATTAAAGTGTTGTTTTGTAATACTGTAATACACTAAAATCGATATGCCCAAAAATAGAAAATGAATTCATCAATATTATTTTTATGAAGAAAAATGATTAAATATTGTAAATTTCATTTTAAATTTTATCCTTGTTGAAATGACTTGCTTAAAATGTGAAATAGGAAGTTTAAAATAATGGAAGACGATTGTGTCGAAAATGATATTAAAATATGCTTCTAAAGAGTTAAAAAGTTTTTTGTAAGTTATAAATCAAAAAGTTCTAGAATTTGATATTAGTGATAAACTTTATAAAAATATATAAAATTAAGAAAAGTGAAGATATTGAAACTTGATAATCTTACAAATACTAATCATCATTTTTGTTATTCGGTGTTGCATGTTGAAGAAGAAATATTAATACAAATTTATTTTTGCGAATATGCATTTGACATTAATAATGTTTTAACAATTGTAAACATAAAATTGTGAAATATATTGATATGTAAAAATTTCAAAGTTAAATTGAGATTTGAGCTTTGTTTGTAGTGAACCAATTAATGCTGTTGATTGATGATAATACCTAAAAATAAGAAAGAGCAAACGTGTAAGTAATTACTCAAAATCCGCATTCCACGGTTGCATAACAGAACTATTCCTTAAACTCACAAATATACAAAGTTTCATTAAACTTAATTATTTGATTTCAAATCACATTGAGCGCAATGAATACATTTTAATTTGAACCTTGACGCGAGAAGTCCTTCGATTTCATTTTAAGTGGCGTGGGATATCGTTATCGAAAAGTTTTTTTGTTCCGTTTCGTTTTGTGGTAGAGAACTAATTAATGTTGATTGATGATAATGATAAATACCTAAAATAAAAAAGGCCTAACGCATGAGTAAAAAACTTTTAAACACAATCCCTTTACCATAATAATTTCGCATGTAACCAAGTTTCTTGATATTGATGTTTAAATGCAAAAGGCCCTTCAATTTTCAAAACATGTTTTCATACTGTAAAATAATTCAAAGAATCGGTATCATAAGCCCAATTTCTTTTCACTTGTACCTTTTTAAGATTTTTCCGGAATGATGTTACCTAAACTTTTTAGTTCATCACTAATATTAATATTAGATAAATCATCATCCGAATCATGAACATAAATATTTCAAGAAATGGACAATTTTGAATAAATGTGGGTAACAAAAAAGTTAAAGAATCATCAAATATTCCATTGTGCAATGCAATTTTGCCAATAGCTTTAGTCAGCTCATATGAATTACCAGAGCCAATTTTAATGAATCAATTTTGAGGGTGTGCACAAGGAGTTTTGTGATTTTAATGATATGTTCATTGTAAACGTCATCGATAGAGATTTTCTCAAGGTTATCCAGTTCAAAATCATCAAGATTGCAAAATTCTGAAAGATGCTTTCTATAGAAACTATTAATGCTTTTAAATTAATACATTGAGCAAGAAGCTTAAGAAACTGAACTTTCAGATTACTCAAGACATTTAAGAAAAGTTGCTCTTTTTTTCCAATTTTTCAGATATACTGTTTGTTGGAAATTGAACGTCACTGTATTCAAAAGATAAATTCTCTAAATATGCCTGAGATTTGATAAAGTAAGTTAACGCTTTGTTTTCCTTTAAATGACAGAGGGTTAAACTCTTTAAAATTAATTGATTTATGCCAGGATTAATTGAAGGAAATTTAGAATTTAATCTGAACAATCTCCAAGTCTAACCTGTTGAAATCCGATAAAACCGTCGAAACCCGTCTAAATCTAAATTGTTAAAACCGTTGTAAACCGTTGAAAATGTCAAAATTATTTTCGAAAAGTTTCAACTTTTGACAAGATGGGTTAGATGAAAATTGAAATGCGGACTCACCCGTTTACAAAATCTCACCATCTTCTTAGATTTATGATGGCGTATTATTTTCACTCATATTAATATTTTGAGAAAGTTTGATTTTAACGCTTTAAAATAGTAAACTTTTTCGGTGAATAAAAATCCTAAATATTTTGGACACGTGATTTGTGTGGCTTAGTTATCTCAATAACTAAATTAATAGTGAATGATTATTATTGGAGACTTTTACTTAAAAGCACCTTTTATATATGTATTTAAGCAAACCGATACGAATTAATTAGAAGTTGCGACTTATCATAAAGCTTATGAAATTAATTTATTTATGTAAGAATTTTTGATAATTTTAATAAGGTGATATCTTATTGCATTATGTGATAATTAAGAAATTTGTGGAGAGAATTTATATTTTCCAAATATTATAATTATAAAAAAAAAAAAATATTCTAAGTTGTTTTTGCTTTTCCAAAAAAAAAGGAAATAACTTACCTTTTTAATAATAACCAGCGAACTTAACTATGTTATAAATGTACAAAAAAAAAAAAAAAATAATGTCATTCAAAGCCCGTTTAAATGTATAGAATAAAAACATTTTTTTTTTTAGTATTAAAATAAAGTACGCAACTGACTGCTTTTAAGATCAATAAAATTTTATTATTATGTGATTTATTCGCTAAATAAAAAGGCTGAAATTTACTTAATTATAACATAAGGAGACAGTTTTAGAGCGCAATATTAGAGAATAATTTAATTATCAAATACAGATAACAAATATGATAAACTGTATTAAAAGGTTATATAAAATATATCATAGAAACTTTATTTATTACATTACATAATAATTCATGATAGACTTTATTTACTGGTATGTTTATATTAACACAATTTTATTTTTAATTATAAGAGTACAATTATAAAACACATATGACAAGACTAAAAAGATCAGAAATAAATATAATAAATAAAATAGGTAACTTACAAGATCAATCAACTATCGATTGCGTTCTAAGGATGGGTATCCAATACGATCGACTTCGCTACAAGAATGGGGATATCCAACAGGACTCGGGTTGCGTGAGCACTACTCATTAAGCAGTTTTTGATTCATATGAGAAGATGTATAGCAATTCTTATTTCAGAAATCGCAGACCTTTAAAAAAAACCACATTCACGAGCAGTTGTATCGGCCCTTTTAATTGTAGATGACATAATTAAAGTTGGTCCCCCATCACGATCGAAATTAAAAAAAAATAAAATAAAATTACGAAACCCAAATGTTGTATACCGTATTTTCCACTTCTTCTTTGTTAACTAATAAAATTAAGAATATTAAACATTAATAAGTTTATCACTAATTGAGCACATATTTTTTTTTTTTTTTTGATTTTTTAGTCTTTTCAATGAGTTTGTTCACGAAATAATAGTTCGTCTCAAGGTATATTCATCGCTATAAAAATAAAGTTCTAGAAAAAGATGTGAAAAATTCGTTATATAATCTAAATAAAAATAATCTCGTAGAAAAGTATCAGATACAATAGATCTAAATATCAAGGAGAAAAAAATTTTTGTAATGGAGTATTTAAGCCAATTTTCCACGAGTAAAACTATTGTCGATAATGATAAGGTACTACATTAAAGAAAAAGAATAAAGAGCTTACCAGCAGGTTAAGATTTGAAATCCAGAAATCAGCTACGGCAGGAGCAAAGTTTTTAGAAGTTAGTCTTAAAGTCGTGGCAGTTTATTCAAGGTGGGCACGGTTCATCATGAAAATTTTTTTTTTGTGAAAGGACCACAAAACGAATAAGGTACGATAAGAAAGAAGTGCTAAAAACTTGTCCGCTTCTTTGTTTCTTTATAAAGGAAAAAAAAGGATAGTCACTTTGAATTTGATCGTGTGAACATTTATTTTCTTTACTGTAATGGTGCCAAATTTGGAAGTCAGTCAATGTTATTTTTAATTATTTTGGAAAATGAAATATACATTTTAACAGTACAGTAGCTAAGCGAACATTAATATAAAAAACGTTAATCATATTAAAAAACAAATGTAAAAATAAATTGTTATAAATTTATATCATCAATTTCTTTTTATTTGTTCCAAAATAAATCAAAATATATTAACCTTGCGTAAATCTACTAATTGACGTTCATTGTAATAAATATTTCATACAACAAATTTTCCATATTTTAATTCTGTAAAGTCTTTTGGATTTTCTTCAGATTTTAAATTACAATTATAGAGTATCGAAACATTCGTTCATAATCAGGTACGTTAATTTCATGCG